TCATTAGTGTCAAGTTTAAGGTTAGAGAATGGTCAATTGATCTCTTTTCAAAATTAGGGCTTTGTTCCAAATTTGTCATGTTATTTTTATCCTAGTGTTGGAGATTAGGGCAAACTCTTAGATAGAATTTATGTCAGTGATAAATTAATTTTTAGTCTACTTGATTGAAGGATACGGTAGAAAAATAAAAAAGCAAAAAATTTAATAATAATAATAATGTTTCCTTTTAAAATTTTGGCTGTTCACAATTAATTGTCTATTTAGGAAGCAAATCTGATATTAAATTTTTTCTACTTATTATATTCCCCAATTGATTAATTAGAGGTTAAATCATTAAAGTAATCAAATATATCAATTTTTAATATAAAAAATATTTTTGTAAACTATTTTAACTTTTGACTCCTATAATTTCAATCACCTTTCCAATTCAAATAATGTTTAGAAATAAATATTTATTTAAAAACATATAGAGTAATTTTCTTATTATTATTCCTATACTAATATAGAAATTAATCATGTTACGATCTTACCCGAAAGGTTTGACGAGAAGGTTAAGTAAAAATAATTGGAATATGGAAGAAAATATGGAATAGAACTCTACCGTACCTACCTCAGTCCTCATCTATTCAGAGAAAGTTACAACTATTTGTAATTTGTGACATGAAACCACGTACAACTTGGCTTAGGAGTAATCCACATAAAATCCGCAATTCGATCTGAAAATTGTGAATTCGATCCGCATAAGTGTAGGATCGAATTGTGAATTTGTGATAGAAATCTGCATATCCGATCCGCAAATCTGTGGATCCGCACTTTTAATAATTAAATAACTAAAAATTAAAAATATGTTTATGAATTTATATTTATTGTTAAGTTGTTGGATTTTTTAATATTTAGAAATGAAAATATTTACATTGTCAAGATGATATATTGTATTATTGTGTTTTTTTATTTTAAAATTTGTTAAATAATGAGAAAACAAGTCTTTTTTTTTTTTTTTCCAAATAAAAGTTATTTTTTAATTTCTCCACATTCTGCAGATATATCCACAATTCGATCCGATCCGCAAATGTGCGGATAAGATAAAAATGCGGATATCATATCTGATCCGATAAGATAAAAATATACGAATCGGATCGAAAAATCGGCCATATTCGATCCGATCCGATCCGCGCACATCCTTAGTTAGTGACAATTAATTATAAATAAAAAAATAAGTCAAGTACTTTTGAATATTTATTATCGCACAGCAACATAAGATTTTTTTTAAGTATAATTTTGATGTGTAAAAAAATTTAACGATCATCCAATCAAATTCATGTATTTTGATAATTTTTAAAGCAGTTAATTTAAAATTAGTTATTTATATTGATCTATCACTACATACATGATTGGTTATAAATGTAAAATTTTTTTATACTAACAGTATAGTGTATAAACTTTTTTTTTTTCAATCAAGACTCAAAAGAAAATTGTATATGCCAGCAAATGCATGGTTTGCTTGTTTTTATACTTTTGGGTACAAATGCATGGTTTGCTTGATTCTTTGATTACGATGTCTTTTTGGGTCGAAGTTTGCTTGATATTTTTGAATTGTTATGCTTTGTTCTTTTATTCTCTTTTTTTAATTTGCTTTTTCGTATTTTTATCCACTTTTGCTTTGATTACAATAATGGGTTTGGCAATAATTTCAAAAGGAAATCTTTAAATTATTTTTAGCCGAAACCCATTTTCTACATCTCATTATAGGCATTAATTAAGATGGGCTGTTAGATTGAACCTTTAGGCTCTATAAAGAACTCATACCCATAGCATATTATGCACCTCCAAAGCCCAAATCCCAAATTAAAAAAAAAAAACCCAAAAATCCGACCTACCGGATTCGAACCAGCGACCTAAGGATTTTTATTAGGATTTCCCCACTACAGTCCTCCGCTCTACCAACTGAGCTAAGGTCTACCAACTGAGCTAAGGTCGGTTAGTGATCTTTTAAGACATCCTTTGGATTAATACTTAACATTGTCACCGTCATAAATAAAACTTTAAATATCATCCAGACAAATTGTTATTAGATAACATGTAAAAATAGTTGATTTCTATTACAAAAAGGGGGGAAAAATAGATTTTGAGAATCCACATATTTCCACTACTAACTTTTCTTTAGGTTATCACAAGTACCTAAGGTTTAATTTAACTACTTTCAATCTTTTACCCCTTTTTCCTTCTTAATGTCATCAGCAATTTAGATGGTAAAATTGACTTGGAACAAAGTAAAATAACGCAACATTCAATGTATAGAAGTTGATATTTCAAGGACATAAACGATACTAATTACTAACAGAATGATAATTAGGGAAAAAGAAGCAAGTCTGAAAATGTAGTGAAATGGCACAACAGTCTAAAAAACTATGTTATTTCCAACTTCCTCCACAATTTTTTGTTTTTTCCTGTTTTTTCCTTTCTCACACTCTTCTCTGCCTCTTCAAAATCATGTTATGCTTTGAAATGTCAATTTGAATAAAACAACAATGTGCTTCACTTTACTAGAACATTCAAAACAGAGAAAAAAACAACTAAAGCAGCAAGTCTTAATTTATATCAATCCAGATGTTCATCGTTCTTTTGTCTTAATATTTACAGTTCCATGGAACTTCATTCTCATAGTAGCATTTTGCTCCTGCCCTTGAACAAAAATCTGTCACAATGATTAAATACCAAATTAGGACCCTCAAGAAATAAAAAATTAAACAATAAAAAAGAGATGATATTTGTAAATTGTAATGCCTCGTACGCAAGCCAACACGCACCACCTCGGCCAGGTGAGTTAGAGTGTCAACTTGGTGTATGAGACAAAAATGAATAAACAAAATTGCTAGAAAGCAAGAAATGTTAAAGTTGTAGAAACCAGGAAATCTGAAACCAGCTGATATTAAAATTACAATTCAGACTGTAAAACCAATAAAATAGCAGTGATTAAGTAAATGAACAGATCCACATCCATACCATTGTTGGTTTTTCCTGAACTCAGTAAGCACGGGATATATGTTCTCGAATGCTGTGTAAGTCTCATCT